ACCACTGTGCAATACCTCCATGTAACAAAACTGCAATTGTACCCCTTACATTTATAAACAAACACAAAACCAAAGAGTGGATTCAGCTAATGTAAATTTTTAAAGGGAAGGGAGGAAAACTTCCTTGTCTCAATTACCAAGGGCCATTTAAAATTTTGTTTTCTCCTTGTTACAAAAAATATTCGGGTTGCCTGGGCTTCTTTACCATACTGTTTCTTTTCAAAAAAAAAAAAAAAAAAAAAAAAAAAAAAGCAATTTTCGCTTTCCACTGCTTTTTCCTATCTGGTATGGTTTGGTTATGCATCCCTCCAAATCTCATGCTGAAATGTGATCCCCAGTGTTGGAGGTGGACCCTGATGGGAGGTGTTTGGGTCATGGGGGCAGATCCCTCATGATTGGCTTGGTGCCATCCCCAAGGTAATGAGTGAGTTCTCTCACTCTGAGTTCTCTCACTCTGAGTTCACGAAGAAAACTGGTTGTTTAGAAGAGCATGGCACCTCCCCGTTCTCTCTTGCTCCATTACTTGCCATGTGACGGGCTTGTTACTGTTTCACCTCCACCATGAGTAAAAGCTCCCTGAGGACTCACCAGAAGCTGAGCGGATACCAGGACCATACTTCCTGTACAGCCTGCAGAACCATAAGCCAATTAAAACTCTTTATAAATAACCCAGCCTCAGGTATTTCTTTTCTTTTTTTCTTTTTTTTTTTGAGGTAGAGTCTTGCTCTGTCGCCCAGGCTGGAGTGTAGTGGTGCAATCATAGCTCACTGCAGTCATGGCATGCCTGGCAAATTTTTGTATTTTTTATAGAGACAGGGTCTCATCATTTTGCCTAGGCTGGTCTCTTAACTCCTGAGCTCAAGCAATCTGCCTGCCTCAGCCTCCCAAAGTATTGGGATTACAGACATGAGCCACCATACCTGGCCAGGCATTTCTTTTGAGTGAGGTAAGAACAGACTCACATACCGTCTTTCCGTCATCTCATAACCTGTGAGATACACAGGTAGCTATTATCAACCCCTTTCTATATGAGGTGTAAAAGACATGTGGACCCAGTTTTGGATTCCACTTGCCATCTCTGTGATGTTGGGCAGGTCAGTATTATCTTCCTCACTAGGCTGCTGTGGTTATTGAGTTTAATGCAGCATTTCCCAAACTTCCCTATGATGAGAAGCCTCTGGGTATTGTTAAAATTATCAATTCTGGCCGGGCATGGCGGTTCACACCTGTAATCCCAGTACTTTGGGAAGCTGAGGCAAGTGGATCATGAGGTCAGGAGATTGAGACCATCCTGGCTAACATGGTGAAACCCCATCTCTACTAAAAATATAAAAATTAGCTGGACATGGTGGCGTGTGCCTGTAATCCCAGGTACTCGGGAGGCTGAGGCCGAAGAATCGCTTGAACCAGGGAGTCCGAGGTTGCAGTGAGTCGAGATTGCACCACTGCACTTCGGCCTGGCGACAGAGCGAGAATCTATCCAAAAAAAAAAAAAAAAAAAAAAAAAAGAAAGAAAAATTACGAATTCTTGGGCCCTAGTCCAGAGCTACTGAACTAGAATTCCCAGGGGCGAGGCCTGGCAACCTGACAGGCCCCAGGTATTATCAGGGAAATCGGGGAAACACTAGTTTGATTTTTATAAAGCATTTATAGTTGTGTCTGGCATGAAGCAGTCAGTATTGATCGAGCACTCATAAGGGTTCAATCTTGGAAATGTGGGTAATAATGATTATTAGATAGGGTTATGATGAAACACAAGACAAATAATGTATAGTCCCCGGTAAACAGTAAGTTCTAAGTATCTGTTGGAGTCCTCACTGCGTTGTATTCATCAGGACTCCCAGGACACGAGGCGATCACCTGGAGGCTCGCTGGTTCTCTGTCCTGGCTTCATTCTCAGGCAGGCTGTATCCAAGGGCTGTGCCTCCTCCTCAACTCCAGGCCTCCATCCTCTAGCTCAGCACCTCCCATAGGAAGATTCTTGTTATCTAGATTCTAGGGACCAAGCCTCATTTAACCAATTTGGGCTCCAGGTACTTCCTTGTACCAGTCACTGTGGTTAGGATTTGGACTAGGCTGATTGACCAAGACAGAATAACTTGCTTACCTAAGACCTAGAGGCATGGGGCCAGCCCATCTGAACTTCGGGAATGGAGAATGGTCCATATCCATGTGAGTCCTTCCAACGGTCCCTTGGAGTTGTTGCTAGGCCAAGAGAAACGGACGGTTGGCAGGCAGCCCCACGGACGTTCCTTGTGTCAGCTCCCCGGTTCACAGTCAGCCAGCAGCCTCCAGATGCCCCAATGTGTGTGGAATTTCCGACAATCTCTCCTCTGCTAGCGCGTCCACGGCCAGCCTTGAGGGCCTCAGTCAGATGACCCAGCCTTGGACCTACCCTCATCTGTGCAACCATCTCCAGCCCCCTCCTTGGCCTGCTCACCCTTGGGCCACCCTGCCCCCAGGGGTCTGTCCAAGGGCTGGACCAGCGACTTAGGGCTGCTGTTGTCCAAAGCTGCTTATTAGGGACCCACTGTGGGAATCCTTCCAACCATGAACAATGAGTTTCTAAACCAGGATAAAAACAGCCTTTGCAAGTCAGCAAATGAGACAAACTGAATTGCTCAACCCCCGCCATCCCCCCTTCCCTCATCGGCCTGGTACTTTCAACACAGTGGCTAAGACCAAGGTCTCTGGAGTCAGAAGGATGTCGTTTTGAGGCCCTTCGCTTACTAGCTGGGCTACTTGTCTCACTTCTGAGCTTTGATTTCCTCTGTGAAATCCATGAAGATTAAAGGAGGCAATGGATGGAAAGCGCATGACACAGAGTAGCTCATAATCAAGAAGCATCGTCATTACCGTCCTCTCCAGACACTGGTCTGCACCAGGAAACGCGCAGCCCTTCAGTGGGGATCAGTGTCAGACAGGGCAATGTCAGGGAGCCGAATCCACTGTGAATATCACAAACCTACAGTGCATTCCAATGTGACGTAAAACACATACACGGCCATGGCACTCACCATATCCTATTCACTCAAGGCTCGGCTGTTTTCTTCCTGGAAAACACACCGCACCGTGTCTTGTCACTGCAGCTGGCCTCCCCTCGACACAAACAGTACAGAAGCTGCAGAAGCCCAGGGATGGGAGTCCTGGGTTCCGGGCTTGGCTGTCACTCCCTTGCAGTGCCACCTTGGGCACGTCACTTGCCTTCTCTGGGCGTTGGTTTCCTCTTTGGTCAAATAACAGGGTTGAACAGGGCGACTTAGGAAAAGTTCTTCCCTCTCCAGGGTCTGCCTTGTGCCACTCACTAGCACACTGAGTGGCGAAACTGCCCTTGCTGAAGCTGAAGCCGTGATGGTCAAGGGTGAGTAACGACTCCAACACCCCTCACTCACACAGGTGGTCTGGTCTGGGGAGGGGGAGTCGGGATGTGGGAGGCACTTACGGTAAGGGTAAGAGGGCTGGCTCTGGAATCTCACACCTGGTTAATTCTTGACAGGCGGGCCTTCTTCCTGGCTAAATGACCTTGGGTGTAACCTATAAGCCGCCTGTGTAGCAAGGGTAATGGCATCTACGTAAGGTGGCTGTGACGATTTGGTAAGATTAATGAGATGTGCTGCATTTGAAGCAAAGGGCCTGGCACAGAACAAGAGCTCAGGAAAGGCCAGCTCTTCCTTTCTCTCCTCTCCTTTGTCTGAGCTTTCTGAGCTACTCCTAAGTTCCATGAAATGAAAACAGCTCCACATAGGCATGGGTTTCATGCTGATTCTACTTCTTCCCAATTTATCTGCTTTCCTTATCTGTTAAATGGGCATAATATGATCTTCCTCAAAGGTTGATGCGAATGCTTGGCATGATGAATACAGAAAGCGTTCTTCTCCCTGAGGCCCATTATCAACCCATTCACCACCTTCCATTTCCCCCCACATTTTGTAGTTCTTTCTTTTTGAGACAGGTTCTATGCCTGTCGTCCAGGCTGGAGTGCAGTGGGGTCATCATGACTCACTGCAGCCTCGACTTCCCTCGCTCAAGTGACTCTCCTGCCTCAGCCTCCTGAGCAGCTGGGACCACAGGCATGTGCCACAACACTGAGCTAATTTCTGTATTTTTTTGTAGAGACAGGATCTCACCATGTTGCCCAAGCTGGTCTCCAACTCCTGGGCTCAAGCTATCCATCCACCTTGACCTCCCCAAGTGCTGGGGTTATAGGCATGAACCACTGCACCTGGCCTGTATTTATTGCTCTATTAGTCGTGACTCTTACAGGCCCATGGAGGGTAGTTAGGACCAGAAAACCTGAGGCCAGACCGGAGTATCTCTCAATTTCATCCCACTCCCTTGTTCTTCCACTGAGAGGAACAAGAACATGCCTATCTAGCTCATCCTCACAGCCCTGGTGCTTAGCACAGCACCCGACCCAAAGAAGGTCACCTCTCCATCCCATGCTTAGAGCCACAGGCTGCTTGCTCCAAAGGGCAGTAGGTGCCAGGGCACTGCCCAGAAGGGCAGGTGGGTCACAGGCTCTTCTGGAAGCACTTTACCCTGCAGGAATCACACAGCAACTATAAGACATTGTAAGGAACCAGGCCTTGCTATGGGATTCAAGGCTGTAAAGAATGAAAACGTAAGAATATGTGTATATGTATAAACAACCACAGTAAATTAGCTTAACTCTACTGGAAAAGATAATGGAACCTTGTATACGAGCCTCATCAATGTTTTAGCTTTTGGTCTGATGACTCTACTACCTTACTATGAGTTTGTACTAAGAAATCCACAAAAAGTATGAATAAGTTGTAACATAACAGTATCTACTACAGTGGTAAGTTGGACATAACTAACGTCTAACCATTTGGTTAGAATTCAGTAAATCAGAATATAGTTGACAGACTATGATGTAGCCATTTAAGATACATGCTTTTGAAAATTAAAGATACAGGGAAATGATTGTAATACTGTTAAGTTAAGAAAATAAAACACCATATGTAAACCTCTGGGTTTGCGAAATAATTTGTTTTATACATTCCTGAGTTTTAACCATACATTCTTTTTACAATATCACAAACAAAACAATGAAAGATACTCAAAACAAGATTCTAAGGTTGGCCTAACTTGATTGTTTATTTGTTTTGTTTTGTTTTGTTTTTTAAGTAACTCTGTAACTTTTTTAAATGAAGCTTTTAATGATGACACACCACCGAGTCTTGCTTTAAGGCCAAAAGTACCCAAACTTAGTATCACATTTTATATATATATATATCGTAAGAAAAGCTATTCCATCAGGTAACAAAAATGAAGTTTCCCCCCTCACCTAGTTCATCTGGAATGCATCTTGAAAAGATCAATGGCCTGTTGGACTCAAAGAAGCCATCCCCAAAAAAATTGTATAAAAAGATTTATTGAAATTTATCAATGACAAACAGACATAAAACTCAAAGTTTGGCTCTTCTGAGGGGCAGGAGAAAACTGGTGCAGATGTTCTTTTATACAGATGAAACATGGGTTCAGAAATTACACGTCACTTCTAAAGCAACCAGAAGAGGGACACAAAAGCAAACCTGTACATTCACTAGGAATTTGCAGTCATTTCAGATTTCCACTAGGTAAGAAAATACAATTTTGCGTTAGTTTTTCCGTGCTCGGGTGTATGAAAAAAAAAACCCAGCCGACATGCAGCAACGTCTCCAGCGCTTAGGTCTGTAAAAATTTTCTAAGCACAGAAGTACATGTGGAAGAATTCTCTCATCATTTTTGTAAAACAAGGCGTTCTAATATTTTACAGAACAAGATAGGACAGTTTTTTTTTATTTTTTCTTTTAAAGAAGTTGAAGTTTGAGGGTTTGTTTCTTTTCTTTTAATTATAATTACCAAATCAATCCATTTTCCTTGTAACTCACAAGCCTGCCCTTTTCAGCTCTCTGGCTCATAAGCTCTCAAGAGTCACATCAGAGTCCTCTTTGTAGAGTGAAGCCCACCACCATCTGTGAAGGGGAAAAGGGATGAGAGATGGGGAATGTCCCCAAACCAGTGCCAAAATACGCCTTTAGGTTGCTATTTACAAACCAGGGCGTTGGATGCCTCTAGCAGGCCCGAGAAAAGCAGGTATCATATGAACCGAAGCAAAAGATTATGGCTGGGGCTCAGCCCCTCCTCGGCGTTGAGTAACCCAACTGAGACCAGCCACGGCCTTCCACCCAACCCAAGAGACTTGGGAAATACCAGGAGACGTTAAGAGAACTCCAAACCATCCTCTTTGAGAGTCAGCAACAAATGCTCACTTAGTGTGTACTTAGCTATCGCATTTACAGGGACAAAAACCGGACACAAAGAAAAAGTAGGGGGAAAAAATAAAGAGTGGCAGTAAAAATAGTATTTTATTCCACCCCCTCCCGCCCTCCCTCCCCCCACAACCCCCAGTACACTTTTCCCCTCTCGTTCCCACAGCAACGTTACAATCAGAAAAAAATAAGTTTCAGGGGGCAGGATTGGAGGGGGGGAGGGGATATGGGTAAAAACAGTCAAATCACAATAGGAATTTTTCAAAATAGGTTATTCCACTTAGTCGTCATCTTCTCCCTCATCTTCAGGTTCTCGTTTTCGCTTCTGACCCCTTTCTTCTTCTGGAAGAGTAAGAAAGTGGCATTTAGGTTAGTTATTCATCCCGCCTCTTTATCTTAACCCAACCCGTTAGAAGCCAGGGGACCACATGACTGGCAAGCTGTTGCCATTCGGGGAAACCGAGGCAAGGCCTCTGCACAGCTGGCGCGGGGGACCTGCAGTCTTTCACAGGAGTGTCCTGCCTACTACCAGGGCCCTTGGGGTCTAAGCCATCTGAGGTCAAAGTGAAAGGGCCAGGCTGCTACCAGCCGAGAGTGAAAAGGCTGCCATACCACCAAGCTCTTCTTCATCTTCGTCGTCGTCTACCTCTCCATCATTATAACCTTCTTCATCCTCCTAGGAGAAAAGACAGACAAGGGAACACTGGAAATGCCCTGGCCTCGGGACGTGCTGAGGAAGCCACACAGAGCACAAAAATGCCAGGGTCACCCCCAGCCTCTCAGAGCCCCCACCAAGACTTGACATCTTGAGAGGAATGTAAAGCAGAGGTTCTTAATTTATTTTGAATCAAGGACCCACGTAGGAATCTGCAGAAAGTTGCACTCTTTCTCCAGAAAACGTCTGCATCGTTTATAATATCTGCAAGCAGTTTCAAGGGGTTATGGATTCCATCCCCAGGTTAAGAACTCCGATCTGAAGTCCCTGTAAGGCCGGCAGCTTTCCAGTCTGCACATTCTCTGAGGAGAATGAGTTCCCGAGCAGACTCCCTGCTGTGCAAAGTAGGCCATCCTTTCTTGCATCTGTCCTCAATCTAGTTTTGGCTTCAAGGGAAGACCCCAGTTTCAGGAAATGCAGATTCTGTGGGCAAGTACAATGTCCCCCGGCCCAGCTCCTTCCCTAGCTTGCAAACTTGGATCACCTGGAGGGGAGGGAAGGGGAAGAAAAATTCAAGCCCCTCAAGGACATCATTCCTAACCAGCTTGACACTCAGCAAGGTGTACGACTTTCATTCTCAACACAGGGCCTTGCTTTCCTCTGCTCCTGAAGGTATATGCTAGTTAAATCTCTGCTTGCCAAACCCGGTTCCTGAAGTTTAAAAGAACTTGGTGACAGACTTCTTTTTGTCAAGGGAAATATTCTTTTAAAATGTCACCAAAGCGTTCCCTCATCAGTCTGCTTGCTAAGGTTCTGCATTTTTTTTTTTGTTTGTTTGTTTGTTTTGATTTTTTTGGTGCACGTATAAGCTCTCCTTTACTGAAAGCTGGAAATATGCGGATGGTCAGTGAGATAATTAAAATAAAAAAAAAAGCCCACAAAAAACCCCCAACCCCCACATGCTGCATGCCTGTAACAGGAAGAGGAAGATGAAACAGCTATTAGCCAATATAACTTACTGCCCTCTTCTAGGGAAACCTGTTTTACTAAGACTTTATTTGTAAAATACTCACAATATTCTTTAGAGATGAGCCTAAGAGTCTAGACCTCAGGAGAAGACAAACCCAGCACAACTAAATACAAACCAAGCTCATCTCACCAGCCTTTTTTTTTTTTTTTTTTGAGACTAAGTGGTCACTCTATTGCCCAGGCTGGAGGGCAGTGGCGACTTCTTGGCTCACTACAACCTCCGCCTCCCCGGTTCAAGGATTTCTCGTGCTTCAGCCTCGAGTAGCTGGGATTACAGGCACCCACAACCATGCCCGGCTAATTTTCATATTTTTAGTAGAGACGGGGTCTTGCCATGTTGCCTAGGCTGGTCTCAAACTCCTGACCTCAAGTGATCCACCCACCCCGGCCTCCCGAGGTGCTGGCATTACAGGCGTGAGCCACCGCCCCCGGACTCCGCTTTTCTATTGTCATTGGCCTGTGTCTCTCGAGCCTGGGCCGGCTGACTGGAAGACACTATCTGAGCGAGTCCGTGTGGTGAGCGGATGTGTCTGCATCCTCCATGGACGGAGACAGGGCACTGCAGGGGGAGTTGGGAGAGGACCCAGGCACCTGGTCCAAGCTATTTTCACTTGAAAGCTCTCCAGGTCGTTAGAGTTTGAGCAATGAGCAAGAGTTGATTTCGAATTCTGAGCAAGTCATAGAAAATGACTCTGCTACAGAGAGACTCAGAACACACAAACACAAAACCCAACACACAGTGCCAGGAACCTGGAGGAGGGTGTGAACGCCTACAATAAGCAGTCAGACGCTCACCCCTTGTCAGACACTGTCCTTAAGCATTTTACTTACACTTCCCTTTATCCTCTTAACAACCCTGTGAGAAAGCTATCATGATCCCTGTTTTACAGATGAAGAAATAGGCTCAGAAAGGTCAAGTATATCGTCCGGGGACACACAGCTAGCGAGTGGCAGAGCTGGGACTCACCCCCTCACAGACCTTGTTAAAAAACTGGGAACCAGCCAATCTGTTTAGGCAAACGGCCAACTCCTGACGCTCTATTTGCATAGTGTCACTCTCTGATTCGGGATCCAGCGTGTTATCCTGCTACCTATCAGTTCAAGGCAGTCTTTGGTTTTCTCTAACACGCAATTTAAGTGCTCAGTGAATATCGTAATTAGCATATGAATGCAAAAAGCAGAAAATGGGGCCATGTGTTCTGGGCTTCTTCACATAGAAACGAAGGCCAGCTCTACCCCAGCAGGTTGAGTCCCTGCCTCCAAAATCCTCTTCCCCTCTTCACCTCCCCAGAACCAGCCCAGGGAAAGGCTCTGAAACGGACTCACTTCACTACCTATCACGGGGGAGCAACTTTCCTAACCAGGGCTCCAGGGCTGCCAAGGCTAATGACAGAGGCATTCAGTGGGACTGCCTCAAAGGGGCAGACGGTGGCCCTGCCCTGCCCACTCCGGCCTCCTTACCTCCTCCTCTCCACTCACGTCCTCCTCTTCACCTTCCTCCTCCTCATCCTCATCCTCCTCGTCTTCCACTACCTGAGCATCTTCATCATATTCCTCCTCTGTGCAATCGAAACAGGGAATGGAAACAGAACTAGTGAGGAGCTGGCTCTTCCCCCAGGCACCACAGGCCCCTGTGGTGCCTTCAGCGTGGGGCCCATGACCCTCCCACACCCACCTAAGCCCAAAGACGGAACACACTAACTCATGCAAACAGTGCTGACATAATTAAACACACCCTGCAGTGGTACCCAAAAAGCCCCCAACCAAGCGTTAGGGATGTGAAGGACTCCTTCTGGAGGTCTCTCACACTGACAGCACCAGGAAACTGTCAGAGCAGAGCAACAAGTTCTGGGGCCCGCGAAAGCGGCAAGGTCAATTCATTTAGAAAGAGCACCTAGGCCAAACTCCTCACGTTACAGGTGAGAGATCTGAGGCACAGAGAGAACTGACTTGTTCAAGGTCACACATCAAGTCACTGGTTGAGCTGGGCCTAGGGGACCTGGTCCCAGGACTGCCAGTTTCGGCTGCAGTCTGCCACATCAGGAGATCCCCACCGAGGCAAACACGGTCTCTGAATAGCTTGCAAAACACTCCCAATTGAACCAGGAAAAGCAAAATCCTGTGTCTGAATTAATCAGGCAAGTGTCTCCATTCTCAACTTTATCCGGCCACGAAGACCCATGGGAAAGCTGCACTGTGCTGGTGGCAAGGGGGAGGGGGAGGCAATGGGAGAAGATCTCCCTTCTCTTCCCTCCTTCCTTCCTGCAGGTCCCGACTGCACGCCACACTGCCAGGGAGCCCAAGAAGCTGCCTGCAGCCCCCCATTTCTCAACACTTGGGGCTCCTGAGCACCTGAGCAGAGCCCCTAAGTATGGGCCTGTGGCCTGCAACCACCAGGGGGCCCCACAACCCCTCTGGCTCCAGACCTCCTCTCCGCTACAGAAATACCTAGATGGGAAAGGGCGGGCAGTGGGGGGGGGGTCCTCAGGCCACACCCTCCTCTCTATCCCTCCCTCCCTTCTTGGGAGAGTGTCTAAGTTCGGGTCACACTATAGAAGGACTGTAGAATTCCACTCTGGGTGGGGGGGCGGGGGTTTGGAAAATAGACAAAAATTGAAGTGGGGATTCAGCTGGATGGTTTTAAAGGAGTTATGATGCAGTTGGAGAATCTCAGGATAGTTCCATGAGCCTGGGACTCATGCTCTGTTCTTTCAGGGAAGTCAACCAATGAGACAGATTAGGGACTATGGCAAACCAAGCAGACTGCCCCACTCCCCTCCATAGCTTTGGAAGGAGGCAGCTGGCCAGCCTACAGCAGCTGGGTGGGGGCTTCCCAACACCCAGCCCACCCCACTCTGTAAAACCAAGGAGGAGCCCCAAGGCCTCAGCTGCGCCCCTGCAGCCCCAGCCCGCCCCCCGCCACCTACCATCCTCATCCTCCTCCTCGTCATCCAGGCCCTCCACGTAGCCCTCAGCGTCCGAGTCAGGGGCCTCCTTGTCGTCCCGGTCATAGCCGTCGAGATATGTGAGTTGCGGGAGGAGCTTGAAGACGTTTTCTCGGTAGTCGTTCAGGTTGGTTACCTCGCAATTGAAAAGGTCTAAGCTCTTGAGGTTTTCTAACTTTTTCTGCGAGTGGAAAAATGAAGTCAACAGTAAGTGATTTGTGGGAGGAAGGCGGGGAAGTGGCTCCAGCCAACAGGCCAGGGTGCCATGAGACAGTGGATAGACCACGACTTCCAGGTGACAAGGAAGCTGGGACTTGGCTCTGCTTAGCCATGGTGTTTGCCCAGACACATCACCTGCGGTCTGTGGGCCTGTGTCTTCATCTGGAAAATGGGGGGGGGGGAGGCTGGACTGGAGGATCTTTGAAGCCTTATCCAATGTGAACACTTTCATTCTACAATTACAGCTTCTGTCTTAACAGTGACCGACCTGAATTAACCTGGGGCTTTGTTGGTGCAGGAGCCAAGAGGTTTGCTGCCTCTCCCTGGGACTAAGGAGCCGGGGGGCGGGGGGGGGGGGAACAGGGGACCAAAAGTCAACTTGAACTAACAAACTAACTCCTTCTGCATCTGATAATGAGGATGAGGATGATGAGGGCAGTTAACATAACACTTCATGTACTGAGTCACTTTATCTCACAACCCCTGCAGAAATAACTATTAGTTCATTTCACAGATGTGGAAATGAAGGGCACAGGATTCGTAATTCATCAGGCAGCCCAACGTCAGACCTGTGCTCGTACTCTTTGAAACACTGCCTGTCAAAAAAGAAGAAAAGGAAAATCCGATGGAGGATCCCAACTCTGTCCTTAGTATTTGCCATGATGTGCTTTGTCAAGGATTTTTACCAGATGGGTTATTGCCAATGTTATCCCTGTTTGCTAGTAGAGGAAACTGAGGCCCAAGAAGTGAAGGGTCATACTGCTGCCAAGTAACTGAGCTGCATTTTGACTTCCTACCTCACTGGCCTTCGAGGTACCAGGTATAAAAAATTCTATCCCAGGCTGAGACCCCAATCCAAAGGGCGCCAGGTCTAACAAGGGAGTAAAACCACTGCTCCTTGGAGTCAGTGTCGGGAGCTAGGTTGTTCTCTCTTCGACCCTGCAGTTGAGACCTGGGTCATTCTCAGCAGGAGCCAAGGACAGGGTGGAAGTCTTGACAGTGGTCTGTGTGGGCAAGCCCGGCACCTCCTATCAAAAGCAGCTTCCCACCCTAGGGAGGGGAGGCAACACACACGGACAAGCAGGGTGGGGAAAGCACTGAGACACGTGTGATCTGGGCAGGGGGCAGTGGATAGTGTGAACATGGACGTGCCTGAAACCTAACGGTGACTGAATCACAATGTTTCACAAAGATTTTATACACCCAATCACCCATACACACATACACAGAACGTCAACGACTTTTTTCTTTTGCAATGACATTACAAAAGCAAGACTTCCAGGGAAGACCTGAAAAGAAGTTCTGTGGGAAGCATATTCTACTAGTTGGCCCCAATGCCGTCAATGGATAGGTAAAATTTGAGCTTGCAAAAGAAATGCCAGTGTCTTGTTCTGCCACACTAGCCGACAGCAAGTCCCGTGAGCATCCATGGAGGGCAAGGAGTGCCTTTTGGGATAGAAACCCTGAAAACGCCGGCCCAATCTGAGGGATACCCAACCTCCCCTATAAACCCAGAAGAGAAATTTGGCAAACGTGGCCAATTGTCCTGCTGACCTTTCCCTGATTCTAGATGCCTGAGGTGCTTATCTTTTTAGTGTGTGAGATGGAGTCTCACTCTGTCACCCGGACTGGAGTGTAGTGATGCAATCTTGGCTCACTGAAACTTCTGCCCCCCGCTGGGTTCAAGTGATTCTCCTGCCTCAGTCTCCCGAGTAGCTGGGATTACAGGTGCCCGCCACCACGCCCAGCTAATTTTTGTATTTTTAGTAGAGACGGGGTGTCACCATGTTGGGCAGGCTGGTCTCAAACTCCTGACCTCAGGTGATCCACCTGCCTTGGCCTCCCAGAGTTCAGGGATTACAGGTGTGAGCCACCGCACCCAGCCTTATGAGGTGATTCTAAAGTGTATATTCACAACATGTATATTTCCTTCATGTGGTAGTATCTCCTATTCCAAAAGAGTTGTTATCTCATCAGTGACACATCTTACGGTTGATTTCCTTAAAATCAAAGGAATACAGCCAATCAGATCCTGGTAATATATAAAGTGTTGTTCTGAACATGACCTGCCCCTTTCTGGCTGGTAAACTGGTGAAGCTTGGGAGCTGTCCATCTCTATAAGGATGAGCAGAGGAGCCAGAAATGCTACCCAGGTCTCTGAGGGCCTGGTCACTGTCACACCAAGGACTGGTGAGCAGGGGCCACTGTTCTCCACGCCACGTTGAGGAAGAGCTGCCTGCACGAGGCTCTCACACCACACGGCTCTCCATCATTCCATGGTTCTATGTCAGGACTGACTCAGCTCCCACAGTTCAGAGGCCAGCGACCCAAGGAGAAAACTGGAGTCCACCTCCAGGGCCAGTTTAATTCTTGGATCACTCCTACCTTCCCGAAAAGGGACAACAAGCCATGCCCCGAACCTGAAGACATTATAGCTCAGGTTTCCAAAGCCGAGCAAAAACTGAGTGGAAAAGCAGGAGACCCGAAACTGAGACTAGGGTTCTACCCCACCTGTACAACAGCTGCCCATTCTGTCTGTGTGACCTTGGTCAAGCTATTTAACTTCTCTGGGCCTCAGTTTCTCTATGGACGCAGCAGAAACAATAGCTCAATTCTGTCTCATAGCACAGCATGAGTCAAAGAAATTAAGCGGGAAAGGGACAAATGCAAAAGTAGTATTCGCTGACGCCAGTTCCTCCCGCCTCCTACCCCTGCAGGGAGGGGAGGGTCTGGATGACTTACCAGTGGCTCTATTGTGCTGAGGTCTTTAATTTTGTTGCCACTTAAATTTAGATGCGTGAGGTTCGGACACTTTTCTGCCAATACTTCCAGGCCCCCTGAGACTCTGTTATCACTTAGTTCAAGCTAAACAAGGCAGGGAAAGAAAAAGCAGAAACGGCTTTTAAAATAAAGGCTCTCGGCTCAGAGCTGCCCCGCTTTCCCCAGACGGGCAAGCAGGGAAAGCAGTCTCACGGAATCGTCTGGCATGCTGGTGCGAGCACCTGGCTTTCCCTTCAATTACGCTTTCTAAACACAAACGAAGAACCCTTCCTCCTCCTCACCCCTGCCTCCCGGCACACACAGACTCCAAACACTCTATTTACCTTCTTAAGTTTGTTTAACTTTGGTAAGTTTGCGATTGAGGTGAGGCCTACGTTGATTGTACTTAAGAATTCCAGTTCTTCAAATTCATCTGTGAGGCCTTCGAGTTTGCCTTCATTCGACCGACTGTTGTCCAGGACAAGTTCTTTGACCTGCAAGAAGGACCGACCGTGTGAGCGGAGGTGAGGAATGGGGCTGAAGCCGGGGAGGGCTGTTAGAGGGCTCCTGGGAGAACAGGGAGACAGACACAGGAGGCAGTCCGTCATTCCGTCACTTGTTCCAGCTTTCTGGATCACTGTGCTGCTAACGACCACAGGATGGATTTGCCCACCCTGACTTCTCTGTCTCCTTTCAACATTTGGGTGAGAGGAGGCCTGTGGTGAGCGGAGCTGCAGAATCAGGGAGCCACTCGACGGGGGTCTTGGCTGGACCACAGAAGACAAAGCCAGTAAGTCCCGATGCCTTTGGCAAGGTTGGTGGTCTCATTCCAGCGCTGTGCTGGCATTCTCCCAAAACCCACATGCACCAGCCACGGCACTGTTAGGGACTTCTGGGCCTTGTCCCACCACCCCAATGCCCTCATGAGACCCCTACATGCCCGCTTGCTTTCACCCACTCCTGCCATCACAGCAGACCTTCAAAAATAAATGTCTCGTTCTGCCACACTGGCCACCAGCAAGTCCCGTGAGCGTCCACAGAGAGCAAGGGGGCCACGTTTAATAAGGGAGTAAAACCACTGCTCACTGGCATTCACACGGCAGAACCCACGTGGCCTGCCCCCAGGCAGGGGCAGCAGACCAGGGGCTCCTCCAACTCTCCTCTACCTCCAGCCCAGCCCTGTCCAACAGAACTCCTTCAAGGATGGAAACAGACTGTGCTGTCCAAGTACACGGGGGCCACTAGCCACGTGTGGTCACAGGGCACTTGCAGTGCAGCCAGTGAGACTGAGAAACAGAGCTTTTAATTCTATTTAATTTCAATTAAGGTAGGTGCAAAGAGACACAGGTAACTCTTATATTGGAGAGCACAGCGCTAGACTTTGCTCTTCACGGTCCAGCATAGCTGTGGAAGGAGAATGGGAAACTCCCAAACCTCGGATGGGTCCATAATGAAATGCTGACGTCAACAGAATCCCAAAGTCTGTCTTTGGAGGCACTTCTGTGGCCCTGTCTTTTCCCCATTCAACGCTCCTGCCCACAACGTGGGTCCTAAATCCTTCATTTCTAATGAAGTAGAAAGAACTGAAAAAAGCCACCTTCTCTCAGGACTGGTAAGAGGTAGACTTAGCGGAAGGTGAAACTGCAGGTTCTAATGAAGAAGGCAAAAAGATAGGTAACTGGGTCGCAGGCACAAAATGACCCTGGGGGTAAATAAGGGAGACCCGGTGTGTGGCCCTCCTTCCAGGAAGCTGGCCCACAGTTTTCCAACCTGCCCCAGAGCAGGCCAGCTTCTGGGAAACCTGGCCTCTCTGGACTGGAGGACACCTTAAAGGTGATTCCTGCCTGCACCGCGTATCTGAGAGTTCCTTCGACCCAGGACACAGAAGCCCAAGCTCCCCGCAGCTGCCAGGAAACACTTACCAGTATCAACTAGATTTGCTGCCTCCCTCTCTCCCTTGAACTTCCTTTCACAGGCCCTGATTTCTCACCAATGGATCACATGGCACAAGCTCATCCTTCTCTACAGCAGTCCTGTATTGTTCAAAGGGTTGCTCCGGCCCCTCGGGGCGTTTTCTTCTCTTGGATAAGCAGCCAGGCTGTCCAGGGCTGCTCCTGCTCCTTTGAGCATGCCAACTTGCCTAGCTTCTTCCTACTGGGCCCAGAATGACCAGGTGCCCCTCTTACCCAGGCATCTTTGGGCCAAATAGAGATATGGGGGAAAGGAGATGGAAACAGAGTCCACATGAAGCCTGCTCTGCCCCTCCTCGGTCCACTCTTGCCAGTGGGCAGAGCAGGGGAGCGCTGGGGTCCACCTGGATCTCAGAGTCCTGTAGGGCCCTGAAGCTTCCTTGCCTTTTCTTTAGTGGTGGGTGGAGGCATGCCGCTCCGCCCGGGACAGCAGTAATTTGTGGGTTTCATCTGGCAGAGCCCACAGAGTGGGAGAGCCAGGGAGCGCAGCAGCCCTCTCCTGGAGCTCAGGAGCTCTCAGCCTAGGAAATGGTCACCAAAGCCCACCTTCCTGTTGGGTCTGGGATGGGGAGGTTCAGTCCTTTCCCACCCGCTCAGTCCCTGAGATCCAGATGTCCAGGTCAAGCCACCTTCTCAAGGTCATGGCAAGAGCGCCTGGGAATAAATCCTGTGAGGCCTTCTGCCCTAGGACAGGAAAGCAACGTACAGCCAGGAAGCTGGGCCTTCAGGGACCAGTGCAGATGGAGGGAGAGTCACCGTACTGGGGGAGGGGAGCCATCGCCTTCCTGCAGTAAACACTGGAGTCACATGGCTCACAGTCTTCTTTAGTCATTGGTTTCCTTGGAAGGCCCTGGGAATTCTTGAAGCTCCACCAAAACAAGGCAAAGATGAGAAGAGATTCCAGTCTACCCTCAAAGACTGCAGGCATGCGGTTTTTCTAGATGGGTCAATGGCTTCTCCTCTTACTGCCGTTAGCCAAGGAGACGAGGGCCCCGGAGAGCAGTGCTGAGGAGCCCAGGGAATTCGTCCAGAAAGTCGGCCTCCTTCCTGGAGAGGCACAATGATGCCTGCCACCCCTGCCCACAGCCCAAGGGTCTGCTGCTGGGGCAGGCTGCCTAGGAATACTACAGATAGACATAGGTTTGAGAGTCCTGACAAGGCTGGTCCCCAGCTTCTCCCATCGTACCCAATCTGGCCTCTCCTCTCGAGGACAATATGCAAGCAACCACTATTAATGGTTTTATTAAAAATAATGATCGCATCTTTCTTGAGTACTCGCTAGGCACACTCTAGGTGCTTCATACACAGTCTTGCTTGATCCCCATAACCACTCCCTGGGGTATGTGTTGGCTCCGTTTTAAAGGCACATCCGAACTGCTCATCCTAAAACCCCAAAACAAGGTCACAGGAGGGTGTCTAGTGCACCCAGGTGGCTGGTGTTAGCCACAAGATAAGGAGGGGCCCCTGATGGCTTCTTGGGACAGGAATCTTGGGCACAAGCTCTCCCTAGACCCCTAAGTCAATTCTACAAGTTCTTGGCTGTGTTGGGGCTCAGAACACATGACCCCAATGTAAGGGGTTTTGGTGTCCTGAGTACTCTGAATTAAAAGGAGATTGGAAGCCCTCAGAAGCAAGCTCTGTGACTTCCTCCTGCCCTCCTGTCTCTCACCCTCTCTCCCTAGAAGTCAGAGAATCCAGAACTTCTCTTCCCCAAGGCGGGCCATGAAAACTAGAATTCTTCTTTCCCAAAGCAAAGCTGAGAAAGGCTACTCTCTTCTCTCCCTTCTCCTTTGAAGACCCTCATTCCAGAGAGGTCCTGCCCCGCATCTAGGAGAAAGGAACGCTACACAGAGAGGCCAAGAAGAATCTGAACAGACAGGCCTTGCTGGGTTCCCTCTCAGCCTACGCCCCTTTGTCCAATCACGTTTCTTCATGCTCTTATTATTCCTCATCAAATCTAAGCATAAAATAGGCAGTTTCCCCGGGTCTTTGAGTCTTCTCTGAAGGTTCTCATGTCACTTACAACTTTGATGAAATAAATTTGTTATGCTTTTCTTTTGTTGTAAGTGTTGGCCGTGACTCCTATGATGGGTGAGGAAGGGGATCACACCTTTCTGCCCCTACAGCTCCCTTTCAGCTCCTCTTCTAACTGTTCCACCAGCCAGGTGGGCACCCCCCCAAGAGGTCTCCGCTCTGGTTACACATCCTTAGCAACCCAAGCACACAGCCCAGCCCTGCCCTGGCTCTGATGACGCTGCAGGAGCAGGCAAGGATACAGAGAGGGGCCTGGGACCCTGCTCTTCCCCAAACAGCAAGAGGCTGCTTCCACTCCCTCGGGAAATCCCCATCTTTTTAAAGGTGAGGTCTTCAGAATCCCCACTGTTTCATGGGGGTGGGGGGGGGGAAGGGGAGGCGGGTCACAGAGGGGAGGGAGGGGCCAGGGCTTAGATCTGAGGTTGCTGATACCACCAAAAAGCCCATACCACATGGGGGAAGACACACTGCTTGTTGTGAGGTGAAGAGGGGTCCCAGTGGGAGGAGCAGGTGAGCTGTGGAGTACTGAAATACATCAAACAGCACAAAACAAAAACGCCAGCCCGACAGCTGCCTGTGAAAGGCATCCCGTCCTCCTCCCTGCCTGCCTCCACATAGCCACACTTTCCTCGTGCTCCGGTTTCAAAGCCTAGACCCACCCTGAGTGTCTGCTACAATACCAAACCCATTTCCTCTGCACTTGGCTCTAACCCTTCCATGGGAAGAGTACATCCCTTTTCCATCCAGGGTGTGTTCTGCTTTAAAAAGAAAAAAAAAAAAAAAAAAAAATCAAGGCCCACTTCCCCTGCCAAGTCCTGGGTGTGAGCGAAGTGCAAAGTTAAAATTAAACTGAAAATTTGTACTTTTGTAGACTCTTTCCCAACTCCACCGGCCATTTAAAAATATCCAAATGTGGTTACTCTATCTAGTTGAACTGAAATTACTCTGCTTGTATCAGAAGCTTTTCCAACACCCTGAAGAGAAACCTACACAGGACCCAATGCTTCATTCCTCAAGGGAACACCTAAAAGAGGCTCTCATATTCATGAGAGAGGTCAGTGAGGCGGCACTGAAGGTTCCCAGGATGTCAGATGGCTGGGGCTCCTGCGCTTCCTGAAAAACTTGTCTCCAAAGCAAAGACTTGCCAGTCATTTCTCACCAACGGGACCTGAAAATTCCACGATAAACACAAATACGTTACTGCTCTAAGGAACAATTTGTTGTTTTAAAACTGAAATCATGTCTCTACAGATCTCTCCAATTTGACCTTTCCTCTCTATTTCCAACATTGTAGCGCTGGTCACGGTCACCTCAAGTCACTTCAAGCCTGCTTTTGCCTCCAAACCAGGCCTCTGTAACTGTGAGGATGGAAGTGGGCAGGAGGCAGCCTGGATTACCGGGAACAGGACTCGAACTAGAGGGCAAGGACCCAACTGGCTCAATGATCTCAGCTCTCTGCCCCAGGCCTCAGGCTTCTGCCTCTGTAGAAA